GTAAATCCTCTCTAAAGAAGGTCATCAAGGAGTTCGACGGAAAAGATGTCCGCAAGCTCGTAGATATCCTGTTCAAGCGGGTCGAAAAACATTTTACTGAAGCGTCCGAGAAAGCAACAACGGAAGAGAGCAGCGTTATCGCCCCGGGCACCGTTTTAGTTGGCGTGTGGAAGGCATGCGAAGAGGAGCTGCAAAGAATAACAGAACTCTTTAACAAGAGGATTGCCCAATGTTATGCTGATAGTGGTCTCTCGCTAGAGTACACCGCGGCTGATGTGGAGGCAGCTTTTCGGCGTCATCGTCTTGGTTCATAATACATAATGGTGGAAAACTAGGTCTGCTTTTATTTCAAACCACGATACTACTGACCCCAATAAATCCTTACTACTCCTCTGTGCTATACTTCACCATATAGAAATAACAATTGATTCACCATGTTCAAGTTAACTGAGCCAAAGAAAGTAAGATTGTTCTTCGAAAAACGGATCCGTGTCAACCACTTCACTTGCAGTCCACCTCCCCCTAGTTGAAGTTTTCGGTAGATCTGCTCATAGCTAGATGAGCAGGGACATCCTGACCTTTGGGCCCAAGATAACCGCTCGATCCCGTGTTCACCTCTGCACCGCTGGAATTATGCTCTCTCGGAGTAATAGAACGAGGCTGTGCGGACGATTTCGTCAAGTCTCCAAATACTGTAGGACCATATGAATCCCACTGTCCCTTCAAGTAATCCAATGACACGCCAGCGCGTGAATATATCCCGGCCTGGCAATCAGCCCCATATAGGTGTTGTTTCGTGATAGGGGTTTTATTGGCAATGCTCCAGAAAATCTCGATGAGGTTGTTGATACGAGACTGGCAAAATCCCAGAACATCGGATTGAGCGGAGTCAATGCCAGCGTCCAGATCCACTTCGTTTTTGACACAGAATGGCTCAAGGAATGACTTGTAGACGTAAGTGGAACCCTGAAAGAATCCGACTTAATCAGTTGCACTGCTGAAAAGAATATTCGCAGACCTGCGTTTGTGGGAGAGATAAATAAAGCAGAAAAAGGGTCCTTATCTCCCAATAAAATGGCAACCTATAAATAGATGTTCAAGGGCTTTAGCGTGGCATGCATGTAGACGGGTGAAAACTCACCAAGACAATAGCAATCCGATACTGGACTCAATTGCGACGAAAATACCAACGATTGCCCAATACATCGACAACCTTTCGAGATCAGGTTCAGTGCCTGGGCGGTTGGATAGGGCCTTGAAAGTGGAATAACATGGCAGCAAAAATGCAAACCAAGAACTATACTGATATGTTAATTATAAACCTAACATAGGCAAGGCATTTTACCAGAGCAAATGGGATATTAAAGACATGAACATCTTGAAATCAAGTTGAGTCAATTCGTAATCGGTGTTGAAGTTGGGTGTTATGGGAATAAGAGCGATATGAAATCTACTAAATTGTTATTGATGGAGACCTTGTAACGATGTAGAAGTCTATGAAGTAGACTCACTTAACTATAGTTCGCTGATAACAATGGAATTTGTTGTTGTGGTAGCAGTTGAAATTGGAACCTACGCGTCAGGGTTCAAAAATGCACTGCGCCTTATATAAGCTTCCGTATATGTAGCACGGCCCTCCGGGCAACCCTGGCCGAAGAAGTCAATCACTTTGAGGAGCAGCGTGTAAGAACGAAATATGTATTAAATGATGAGCAAGCGTAGCAGAACGAGACGAAAACTTTGGAAATTGAAGGGACGTCGAAGTAGGTAAGGTAGAATGAAAGACACGCAGTAGGAAAGGGTGAAATCAATATGTAAGTAAGTAGATACGAAAACATGTTCAGTTCAAGAGACCACAGTTAATAGCGCTGGGGAAGGAGGTTAGATGAATCAAAAGGAATAACAGGAAACGAACAAAACAACAATAACATCAATGAGAGCTAAGTCTTCAGGAGTTATGTGAACCGGTTTGGTGTGGTCTTTTCTAGCGTGTTTGACAATATTGTAGCGGCGCCTGGCGCCAATCCCCGACTCTGGGGTAAACACAATCAAATCTTAAGCTAAACTTTTGTGCATGAAAACTGTTGTGCCAACTTCATTTTCAAGAGCATATACAGGTTTTTTTACTGACACTGATAGAAGACGACATGATGTTACCAAAAAAACACCCATTTTCCTTAGGCTGGTACAAAAATTCACACCATTATTATGAACTATAATCCGAAATCTCCCAATAAAGGTCTAGGTCTTCTTAAGTGGGCAATTTGTCTTCAGGAAACATTTTATAACCATGGGCTGCTGCAAAATACCTTGGATGATTTTGTGGAAGTACATTTTCTGGCTCACTCATGTTCACAGAAACTTAAATGTTTGATAGAGTAATGATGTAGCAAAAATGTTTTAATTGATATCAAAGGGTGAGCAAAGCAGAACAGCATGACAAATGCCTCAATATTTCTTAACTTTGCTGAATACAATGTGTGTATAGTATCGTAAGGATTGATCTCTGATACACTCACCTCACTAAATTGGGTAGAGAATTGTGAACAACCAAACTCGAGCTTGCTTATTTTCCCCAAATTTCACTGCATATGTTATATACCTTGGTGATCATACATTTGTACGTACCATCTGTTTTTATTGTTCTCACTCTTATAATCCTAGGAATTTGCTGAAAAATATCTGCCGGTTTTCAAAATTCCACAAGAAGTGATGCAAGACCCTGAATCACAGACCAAGATGCATACACTAATCAAGGATGGCCCCTAACAGTGGTGAGGGGCCAAGTTGAACCCAAGGTGAGCCTGCATTTTACTAGCTCTTGCTGTTAACTCATATTTTTCAGCTTATGACCACAATATAAAAACAGATGGATATCTATAACGAAGGGGACGGTGGTCCCAAAAGTCATGTGCGGCACACGTGGGAGCACATTTTTTCGCTTAGTTTTGCTTGCTGTCGATGATAAGAACTGTTGTTAGAAAACCACACACAAAACAAAGTAACACACAATCCTCCCAGATTCCATGGAACTTGTTTATGGGTTTTGCCTCCTAGAACAGTGGGTGCTCTGGTTGTTCGTGGGGTGGTATGTATGACGATCCTTCAAAGTAAAACCCAGAGATGTATGGGTGTGGGTTTTGAGGAGGAGGGATAGTTGAACTATAGAAGATAGGGGCTTTTTGAGATGAATATAGGATGAGCACTACCTTGCTAATCTTAGCACAAGGTAGGTTTGAGAATGACAAGATAACGAGGTTCCCAGTGATAGCAGGCTCCTGACGCACAAACTGTAGTGCTCAGAAGGACTCTAATTGAAAGGGATGACAATCACTTTCAAAAGTGACAAGTAACAATGACAGCAGTCAACAGTAGTAACAGTGGGAAGTGTTGTGACTACACTGGATCACAAGTAGCAGAGTAGTGAACTTGAGATTTAGAGAAGAAGTCTGGATTGGATTTCTTGTTTTTTTTTTTTTTACAAGGTAGAATACAGGGGTTTATATAGTAAAAGAAAAGTAGGCTATGCACAGTATAGCTGTGCAAAAAGAATGAGAAAGAACATGAAGGAAGGAATGTACGCTGACAAATCTTGCATAGGTAGTACAGGATAAGATTGTCAGAAAAAGGAAAAGAAAGGGATAGAACAATGAATGCTGTGAGTAATGTCACAGGTTTGTACAGCCATAAAGTAAAGTCCAATAGCAAAAAGAGAGCAGGAAAATCATGATGTCATGGGAAGATGCAGTAAAAAAAAGGGCAAGGCAAAACACTATCAGTATCAACACAGTTCCTTTATTGTCAGTCAGGCATTCCAAAAAAATATGTGTCCATAAAAATGATTCAAAAATCAAAATAATCGCACTGCAAATGAATGTTCTGCTGAAAAAAAAGAAACTGGAGCCACCAGTCCACCACCTAGTCCAAATCCGACGGTTCCATGGCCTTACCAATGGACTGGTTGTGTTGGACCACCTGGACAAACGAAGGAGGGAGAGCAGTAGTTCCAATTTAGAACAAGTGAGTCCCAGGCAGCGTGTGGTAGGTGTAGCTGTAGTGAAGACAATGGATAAAAGATAAGTGTACCCAAGTGAATGGGACAGCAATGAACATGGGCGACGCAAGGGGATGAACCTTCTCCAGCTCAAAAACTACCCACCCATGCTCCAACCAGGCGAGACGAGCGACTGATGTTTTGATAGTATATGATGGCAGATCGACGTCATGAAGATGGACCTGTTGCTCTATTTGGACCGGCCACCGGGGCTTTGCTGATATCAGCAGTGGCACATGGTAGTTGACGGATCGGCGACGGAAGCGGATAGGAAGTGGTGACATCAGAAATGGTGGGGGTGCAAATAAGATGAGGAGGAGGAGGGTGGAGGTGACGAAAAAGTGGATTAGAATGGGGATCCGGAAACGACCATCAGTTGAGAATAAAAAGGAGAGGAAGGGTCCAATGGTGGGACTGAGTAAAGAAAAAAAAGGTAAGGGAGGGCAATGAAAGCGAGGGCGCAATGTGTAGCCAGTGGCGACGCAAAAATTTGCCAAAATGCCAAAATGCGGAGGGTACCGAATGGAAAAGCATTCAAACCAAGAAAAGGACACATGATTCCCCTCTCTGCCCCAGAAAAAGATGAGGTTTCAAGTTTCATAGATGAACAGCTTGAAAAGGGTTACATCAGACCTTCCAAAGCCCTATGACATCCCCAGTATTTATCATTCCTAAAAAGGATGGTAAAGAGTGTATGATTATGGACTATTGTTACTTAAATGAGTACACAGTTAAAAATGTGTATCCGCTGCCTTTAATTAGTCAGCTAGTAGACAAGTTGGCTGGTGCCAAGATCTTAACAAAGATGATCTAAGATGGCTGTACAATAATGTACACATCAAAGAAGAAGATGCTTGGAAGGCCGCGTTCACGTGCCACCAAGTATCCTTCAAACCCCTTTTTATGTTCTTTGGGTTGACCAATTCACCGGCAACCTTCCAGAGCATGATGAACGAGATTTTTACAGATATGGAAAACTGTTTTGTCATTTATATTGACAATTTATTAATATTTACGAAGTTGGATAATAAGGCTGAGCATGACAGGATCGTGCAAGAAGTCCTTCGACGCTTACAGGAACAGGACCTATTCATCAAACCCAGAAAATGTAACTTCAAAGTGAAGGAAGTAGACTTTCTCGGTATGATAATTGGCCAGAACAGAATCAGGATGGATCCTGAGAAAGTTCAAGCTATTTTGGATTGGCCTGAACCTACTCGTGTCAAAGGAGTTAGGGCTTTTTTTGGCTTAGGCAACTTCTACCATAAGTTTGTTGAAAACTTTGCAAAGATAATGAGACTGTTGAACAATCTCACAAAAAAAGACATTGTTTGGCACTGGGGCACCAAAGAATAAGAAGCTTTTGACAAACTTAAACAGGCATTTACAATGGTGCCCATATTAGCATTTCCAGAATTAGACAAAGAGTTCCAGCTAGAAACCGACTTTTTGGATTTTGCTACTGGGGCTGTTCTGTCAATTAGATGACCTGATGCTCTTTGGAGGCCTTGTGCCTATTTATTGCATAGTTTGTTGCCTACAGAGCACAACTATCAAATTTACAATAAGGAGATGCTGGCCATCATTAGAGCTCTAGAGCACTAGCGGCATTACTTAGAAGGTGCTAGGCACCAATCTGAAATCTGGACCGATCATAAGAATCTGGAGTATTTTATGATGGTCTGAGACTTAAACTGAAGACAGGCCTGCTATGTGGTGTACTTATCTAGGTTTAATTATAAATCAATTCATAAGCCAGGTACTTCTATGGGGAAAGCGGACACTTTATCTAGAAGAGAGGATCATGCCAACGGCATCAAAGATGACAAAAAAGGTGTCACCCTGATAAATCAATCAAGGGTTGCCAATATTAGAATCAGGCAGGACTCCGATCTTCTGGAAGTCCTCAAGAAAGACGTCTCCTCAGAAGAGAAGGCACACCTTGATGGCAATTTATATTATTTATGGGAAGATGGGCTCTTCCATTACAAAGACAAAATCTATGTGCCTGAGTACGCAAGGATGAAGGCAATAGATAGACATCACGACACTCCAGTGGCTAGGCACCCTGGGTGGCAACAAACAATGGAGTTGATCTCCAGAAACTACATGTAGCCTGGCATGGTCAAAGACATACAGGAATATGTAAAATCCTGCCTGAGATGTGCCATGGCAAAGAACTCGCATCAACCGCTGGCCAGTAAACTTATGCCAAATCCAATACCAGCTGGTCCCTGGCAGGATATATTTGTTGATTTCACGACGGATCTGCCCAAATCAAATGGGTACAATTCAGTAATGGTGATGGTAGATAGCTTCTCCAAAGAAGTGGTATTTATTCCCACAAATAAAACTATCACAGCCGCAGGTACGGCCAACTTATTTAAAGATTTTGTATGGTCTATCCATGGGTTACCAGAAATGGTTATCTCTGATAGAGGACCACAATTTGCTAGCAAATTTACAAAAGAATTATGCCG